TCTCCTCGTCGAGTTTACCATAGAGGTACGCATTACGGACATCGAGTCCGGAGATGTGCATGCCCTTGAGCGCAGCTAGCGCGAGTATTAGGCGCACGGTCTCAAAGCGTACGACAGGAGAGAAGACCTGATCATAGTCAAGGCCTTCAATCTGGGAGTAGCCTTTTGCGACTAGTCTAGCCTTTTTACGACCGTCAGTTTTGACGTCGAAGACCCAGCGGTTTTTGGTAACCCTACGTCCCTTAGGACGGTCTACCAACTCATAGACATTGCGTTTGCGTAGAGCCTCTAACTCCTCGCGACACGCTAGTCTCCACTTCTCTTGCTCCTCTTTGGGTAGCTTGAGAATATCGCGGTATGTCCATTCACGTGGATTGGACTCTGGAGAATCATGTTCAACAGATGGTAATGCGCATGAAAGCAGCATGTTGACCATTCCTACTCCCCCTTCCCGGCATAGTCGTGCCATGAGTAACTCCTCGACTTCTTCGTCTGAGCCCGAGGCAGATCCAGAAGGTTGGTCTGGCTGTGGTTCTGGCGCGCTAGGTCCGGGAACCTGTTGCTGCGACCCTGATTGAGGGTTAGGGCGGGTGCTACCCGACCCTTCTCCGACAATCTTTTTCCACTGCCCCTTCTTTTCAATCTCTTTGTACTGGTCTACGGGATTGTGATTTTCTCCGTAGACGTTCCCTGGGCGAGTTACATGCTTCCGCTGACGACCTGATTTCCGCTGCCCTTGAGGCGCAGGAATTCCCGAAGGTTGTGGCGGCGGAACTGGACTGGGCGCCTTTGGCTGCTCCTGAGCATCGTCACGCTCATCGTCCGTTCCCTTTGGAAGGTGGTAGGGACGAGAGATATCCTCATCGTCTGAATCCTCCTGAGAAGTGGGTTGGTGACCCGCTTTGTGGTCATGTTTTGGCGCGCTTTGCAGCCTAGTATTACCCCGCCGCTTCATGCTGGGGCATTTGGGGAACATACTCTCGTCGAACAACGCATGTGACGACGTGTAGAGCACATTATTTGGTGCACGCATGAACAAGTCACCGTGACCTCCGGGGGCGACACCGAGGTATGTCATTAACTCTGACTTTCTAGACAGAGTGTTCTTGCGCACGTCCTTGGGGATAAAGACGTATGCGCCGCACCCGAATACTCGTAGATGCCTAATGGCAGGAGCCTCGCCATTCAACATCTCATATGGTGTCAGCCATTTGAGGCGACGAGATGGTGTCCTATTGTACACATGGACAGCGTGGTTCACCGCAAATTCCCACCAGGATTCAGGTAGACACACTTCAAGGCGCATAGCCTGAGCTTTGTCCATTATCGTCCTGTTGAGTCGCTCAGCTCTGCCATTTTCCTGAGGAGTGTGTGGCGAGCTTTGCAAGATCTTGATGCCCTCGTCTTTCAGCATCTTATCAAACGCGTCAGACTTGTATTCTCCCCCAGCATCCGACATCCATCCTTTGACTTTCTTGCCATATTGGGTTTTAACCGTGGCGAGAAATTGGCGCGTAGACAAAATCGCAGCACTTTTGGTGCGCAGATTCACGGTCCAGGCGTGAGACGTGTAGTCGTCATAGTACAGTATGTAGTACCTGTACTTATGGTAGGAGTCAAGCGGGAACGACTTCACATCACTGTGAATGAGCTCGAAGGGCTCTGTCGCTCGCTTTGTGGATGGCGGGAAAGCCTTGTTTGGCATTTTCCCTTCTGCACATCCAGGGCACACAGGATCCTCCGTAGGGAACTCAACCCTGAGAGGGAAACCATCGGTGTGTTTTTCAGCCTTCCGAAGAACATCCTTTGAGGGATGCCCAAAACGGCGGTGCATAGTTTCATAGTCTACAGTGTAGACCGTATTGTGGATACTTTGCGCATCTTCCCCAGAAGCTGCAGCATAAATCCCAAAAATAGAGCCACCTGGGTTCAGCGGTTTAAACACATATAGTGGATCCCGCGATCCCGGCTCATAGAGGTTGATGTGCTGCGAACCACCGCGCACAGTCATGCCTTCTTTGAGGAAAGTCCCCATGGACAACAACCGTTGATGCAGACCTTGGAAATAATAGACAGGGTATAGACGAGTTGTTATCATCTCACCGTCTCCACCTAGGAAATTGATGAAGACGGTCCCGCGCTTCGTGCAGCGGGCCGTGCCATTCGCAGTCTGCACCAGGATGGGTTTGCTGAGATCCTCAACTTCAGCGAAGTCACTCATCCGGTTGGTAAAGTGCATTGAAGCACCAGAGTCCAACATCCAAGTTGGGTCTCCATCAGGGTAGGCTTCATTGCCACCCTCTAGGACATCCTCAATCTTCATTTTTCCTTTACACTTGGAGCACGCTGCAAACTCTCGCGCGTGACGACAGTGTATATATTTGTGTAATGAACTACCAATACATTCATTATTACACGCGACTTAGATGATACTCTACTACATGCGGCTGTGGGTAGCGCATTGTCAGTAGGTCGCATGGGAATTGAAGGTGAGGGTACTGACCTGGCGTCCTCGTCCAGATCAAGCCCGGCGGCCATCGCGATGTCCTTGTCGACGTTCTCGTCGACGTCCTCGTCGTCCGACCCCCAGTTAAGGGGTTCCTGGGTCTCGGCCCAGGTGCCGTCGTGTACGAGTTGTAACCCGCATTCACCTCGTCGATCCTCTCGGCCATGTCGTTGTCGTCGTTGGAGAGACGAGCGCGCTTGGATGCACGCGACTCCGTGTCAGAGAGGTAGTCCTCGATCTGTGCGGAGTTGTCGACAACTTGAGTGAGCGTTTTGAGGCGCTCGACCGTTGGAGAGACGTCAACCTCTTCGGCCAACTTGAGGGCGCGTTGCAGCCATTGCTGGCAGTTGCGCATAGGGCGCTTCTGCACAGGCGCGTGCGTTTCGACGATGCGGACTTTGCTGCCCGAAGGCGCGATGTCCACGACGTGGGACGTAGAGGGACCAGCCACAGACGCCTGCGAGGCGATGTGGGCGTGGTCGTGGCCGTTGCTGTGGCCGCCGCCGTCCTTCTGGGCATGGGTCTTCTTGCCGCTGCGTTTACCGCGCTGCTTGCCCTTGCCCTTGTCAGCCTTCTCGCCGCTGCCGCTGCCACCGTCATGGCGCTGCTGCTGCTGCTGGAAGCTCGGCTCGCCTTGCTTGCGCTTGACGGCCGAGATATTCTTCGCGTCGTGCAAAGAAGACGCCTTCTTGCCTGAGCCTTGCTCAAAGGCGAGGTTGGCGGCGTGCCGGACATCCGAGATCTTGAGCTTCTTGACGTCCGTCGTTTGCAGCATGACCTGCACGACGTTGTCGTACCGTGACGGTAAAGCATTCAGGGCCATCATGGCCAGAAGCGCGTCGGGGAGCTTGAGATCATTGTCCTCGAGCTTCTCGCAAGCATCGATGATCTTGGCGAGGAAAGGAGCAGGATGCTGGTCAGCAGGAATGCGCACTGTCGTCGCAGTCCTGAAGGACACGTAGAGGTTTGCAGCGTTCTGCTTGCTGTACATTGTCGACAGCATGTCCCAGAGATCCTTCGCCGAGTCGTTTTCTTTGACGATCTGAACGACCGAGGGACTGAGGCGCAGGCATATCATGCCTTGCGCCTTCTCGTCCGCCTGGGTCCACGCAAAAACCTCCTGATGGTTCCTGCCGCCCTCTTCGAGTGTTGGGCGCTCACCGAGAGTCTGTCCGATCATGAACCAGACTTCCTGGCTCTGGAGGTAGGACTTCATGGCCTCCGACCACTTGGCGTAGTTGGAGCCGTCCAGGACAGGGACCATGTTGAGGAGAGCGTTGGACATTGTGTGAGAGTTGTGTTGAACGGGGGAAGTGTTTAAGAGCTGCTTGGCGAAGGCGACATCAGCGCTCTGTCACACAACGGACTGCAGCCAAAAGGCGCTGTCCACACACATGGACTCAGTGTCCTCATGGTGTTTAGCAGCGACGTGAGTCGCGCTTGAGACCTGCAGCGTTTCCGCGCATAGTCTCCCCCTGGCTTCAAGCCCGTGAGGGCGATGCCGCAGGTAAGCCAGTGCGCACCGAGTCGCAGCCGTTGAGGCGCAGTACTCAGGTGTCGACCGGGGCTCATAACCTGTTGAGCAGACTTGGTCACACGTAGTGGACCACGCTCTAACTTACCTGCTTGAAGGTGTTGCTGTTAAGCTTGAGGCACACAAGTAGTTCCGGTGTTGGAAGTACTGGAGAGAGAGCTACGCTACTGGTGGGTCTTATATACATCTGAGAGATGCTGACTAATACTACTGTATAGTCCATTCCCACGCATGACTTGCTCTATGCGGTAAGTGCGGATCTAGCACGTGCAGTGCGATCCGGCCCGTGGAACCCGGCGGCCCGGTGGGCGCCTATATGGTTCAACACTCCCCCTGTACGATATCAATGAGGGCATTGATGTTGTGGGTTTTGAGGGCCTGGTCGACCTTGTATCTGTACGCCGGGCCGTCATTGACATCGCCCGCTGACGGGCCGACGGGCAGCGGGTTCTTCTGTGCTGAACGAAGGTGCGGGACCGCTTACAACATCTTAAGCGGCGGGATGAATCAATACAATACTGAGTCACTCACGATCATGTCTCTTGTCTTTGTGCACCTCAACCACGACACTGTCTCCCCGCCGTTTCCTTTTAGCTTGCCCACTCTGATTCACTGTCTTGGTGGGCGTCTCGGACTCCTGCAATTGATCTTCTTCGTCACTAAAGTTGATCTCGCTTGCCGGACGCTTTCCCTTCGCTTTCCCGGCCCTGATCTCTTGTACTTCGTCACCACGGCCTCCTGCAACTCGTCTTCCTCGTCGCTGGTATCATTGCTGTCCCGTGCCGGTGCCCGGTTAACGTTACCGGTGCAGCCACCATCACATTCGTCACAGAATGTTCCGCCTTGTCCTCCGATATCTCCATGTAATTCCATCCCACTGTTGAACACTTCACCTCTCCGCCCAGCAGCGCAGGGCCCGGAGTACGCTCCGCCTCCCGCGTCTCACTGCAGTGCTTGGGATCAGTGCTGGCGTGTGGGAGCTGGAACCGGACTGCATGCGCTGTGTGGGACGTCATAGGCCGAGATGCACCAGCCGGCGATGTCTTTCGGGCGCGGTCGGGACGTGTGGGTTCCCGGGGCAGCGGAAGTCACCATGCCAGTAAAGCTGGGCAGCGGGTGGCCACCGGGCGGGGGACTTGCGGAGTACCAGGCATTCGTGAAGACTCTCGGCCCGTCATCCGATTTGATGCGCGCCATGCGGGTGGAATAGTCTCCGCTCACGTTGCCGGCCACTTCCTCCATCGCTGAAATAGCGAGCGGGGTACGTATACTACCCACTCTCTCGCTGAAGCCGATTCCAATATCGCGCCTATTTTGAACTAAGGTCCATGTAAGGCGTTGAAACCAGTGCCAATCTGAGCTACGACTGACCACCGAATTTTCTATGCCATTCCACTGTCATTGGGAATCCCAGTGTTACTGCCTGTGAAACAATGAATGGGAGTAACTCACGAGCCGCGCAATTGTTGTCCGATTCTGAAGACGGGGATTTTCGGCCTGCCTCAAGCGGGTTTCGATGTTGCGGCCATATGCAGCGAGGACCAAGTTGGCGTCCAAGGGATCGTCGTACCCCTTAAGTGGGTCAGCGGCTGCCCCCGGCAGAGCATGGTGGGATGACGAAGCGGAGGTCGAAGCCATGAATGAAAGGCGACAGAGAGCAGTACAGAAGTGAGCGGATTATGTCGGGGAGATCAACGAAGTGCAGGGAGGGAACCAGGTGGCATTTGATCAGGCGTGCGTGGCAATCGAACCACGATCACGTGGCCAAATGTGGCCGAGGGGCCGCAGTAAATCCTATTGGTCAAAATAAGTACATATCAACATATCCTTACCATAATGCCGTCACGGCACCCAAGCCACCGGCACAGCCGGCCGGGTAATCTCTACATTGGCCGGCGGTCCATACGAGGATGTTGATGTCTGACGCCCGGGGGCGGGCATCCGGTGGCGGGCATCCGGTGGCGGGCGTCCGGCGGCGTGCGTCCGAGGGCGGGCACCGGCGACGTGCGTGCGGCGGCGGGGCAAGCGTGCAAGGGATGATAGATTGTCCAAGTTCAATTTCATGTTCATGTATTGTTTTGTTCCAGCAAAAGAGGTTCCAACAATATATACAGAATCTACTAGTACATTGTGCGTTACACTACCAAATTACAAATCCCCGCCATAGTCCTGTAACGTCGTCCAAGAGGGGACCATCGGTGGAGTTGCAACCCCGCCTTGATCATTGCTGGGTCCGGGTTCGTGTTCCCCGGATGTCATCGCAACATCATTGTCATCCGGCGGCTCGGTCCGCTGCGCTGTCACGTCCGAGTCCCCATGAAGTCCGGGCGCGTTCGGCGTAACACTCGGTGATACGGGGCGTTCCCCATCGTGGGTTTGGCCTGTCTGCACAACGCTGTGAGCATGCATCGCTGCATCGAGCACCGTGCTGCTTACCGGCTCTGCAGACGTGCCTTGTGGCACAATACCCGGCTCGTTATCCGGCTCGTTACCTGGGGTCTCCACGACGTTCTCCTGGGCCTCATTTGACGACTGCTGCTCAGCCGGAGTCATACCGGGAAGGACTTCCTGCGAAGGGGTGACCGGCGGCTGTGAATCTGGAACCGTATTGTGCGAGTTGGGGGGCGGGGGGTCACAGTGGCCACATGCACCCCCATCCTCTGCTTTGTCGCCGGACACGCCACTCTCTCTGACATCGTGGTTTTTGACCGCGAGACCCGAAGGGCTTTGGCATGGCGGTGGGGGGAGAGGTGGGGGAGTCTGGGGGGGAGAGGCGGGGGAGTCTGGGAAGGCTGGGGGGGAGAGGCGGGGGAGTCTGGTATGGCCCTCGGGACCGCCTGGTAACAACCTGCGAGGCATCGTGCACCGCAGGACCGAGGTCCTGGGACACAGCCTCTGCCGCTGCGTCATCTTGCCCGAGATGCGCCCTGTCACTGCCAGAGCCCTCGACCACCACGGCGGGTGGAATTTCGGACCGAACAGACTGTGTGGGGCTCGCTGCCATGCTCAGTGTCGGAGGCGGGGTCATGCGGACAGGGCCCGCCGCTCGTTTCGGGCTCTCCGCCTTTTCCCATCCAATGTTGTTCTCCGCCGACCAATCCATCTCGATGTCGGCTCCCTGGACGTCCGTTGCGAACGAGAGTGTGATGGCGGCGCCGGGAGCAACCTGCTCTTCATCCATATTGATGTCGTTCTCCAAGACGGGCGCGTCTTGAAGCTCGCTTGCCGATGGCTCACGGTCCGAAGTCGACGACAAGACCTCGGGATCTTGAGGGGTACCGGAACCCGAAGCCTCGGGCGGCCCCGATGCTGTATCCGTTTCGCCGGAAGGGAGGCGGCCCTCTGAAATGCAGTCGTCAGTGTTGTTACGACGGATCCATCCAATAAGACTCACCACGGCCAAGGACGAGCGCACGGAAAGCGTCGAATTCCTGCCTAAGCTGCTGGTACATCTGCCGCAGCTCCACATTCTCCTGTCGCAACTTGTGTAGCTCCTGCGAAATTACGCTTGCTGACTGGAGCATCACAACCCCCCGCGGCTCTTGCCCGGAAGGTAGCGGTGCTATTTCTGGTCAATGTGAGCGAAACACATCATGGTCACCACGAAGTAACTCACGATGCGGGGGCTCCCCGATGTAAGCTGGGACAACGCGTGGTCGCTCAATTTGACCGGCATTTTGTGAAGGGCCGGCGACGCGACCCGGGGACCCCGGTTCTGGAGTGCTTGCGTCTTCTGGCTCTGCTGACGACTCCGGTGTCTTCGTGGCAGATCTGCTACCGGCGTGCTTCTTTTTCTGTACTGGTTCCGACACGATCCGCGGCCGTTTTGCGGGACGGCGAGCTGTCCGGGTGCTTCGTCGAGAAGACGTAGTGGCCACTGATCCGGCGTCCGATTCTGCTGCCCCGTCAAACTCAGAGTCTGGAGGCGGTGTCGCCTCTGATGTCGCTGACTGAGATCGCGACCGTTTTCGCGGATTTGCTTTCCGCCCAGTGGGTGTGCGGGACCGCCCGCACTTGATTTCATGGGTTCCCGATGTGTCGTAGTCTACACAGGGATTGTGGCCCCGGAAGCACTCGTCGCAGGTCCTCGTGTTCCGCGCGGGGTCGCTCGAGATCCAGCAATGCATGGAGCGGCATTTGATGCAAGTCGTGGGCTTCAAAAGGCGTCAGCGGTGCGGAGGGAAATGCAACAGGATGACTTACGCGCACTCTGAGCCATCTCTGGCGCCGTTTCTTCATGATATCCGGGTGCTCCCAGTCGAAGTGCGGCAGCCCCTCCTGTGAGCGCTCGGCTGCAACGACATCCGCAAGATACTTGATGTCCTTTGTCTTGATTGCCCTGCTAATGCGTTGGTCCAAGGCCTCACCCGGTGTGATGTCCACATCCCAGTATGCTTTTGCCTCCGCAGCTGCGTTCTCAAGGTCGGTGGGCGATTCCTCACGGTCTGCGCGCGGCGTCAGGGAGACTGCTAGACGCCACGGATATGCTCCTCACCTTTACCCATCTCCTTGTCATCGTCCAAAGACATGACACTTGCCTCCCATGTCTTTCCGCGGGCTTTGCTGCTCGATGTCTTGCTCTTCCTAGGCACCACGGGCTCCGCTTCCTCGTCCTCGTCCACAACGAGGACATTGTCCGCATCCTCGTCCTCGTTCACAGGGTGGACGCTGTCCGCTTGCTTCTTGCCTTTTGCCTTGGTCCCCGGGGTCGCCTTTGTTTTCCGCGTGACCTGCTCTCGCTCCTCGTCCGCGTCCTCGGCAAAGTCGACGCTCCGCGCCCGTTGTTTTCCCTTTGCTTTAGCAGACGCGGTGCTGGTCAGTTTCTTCGGCCCGGGCTTGGGGCGCTGTCCCCCTTGCTCGGCGTCACCTGACCGCTGCTTGTTGGACTTCTTGGTGGGCGGGGTGGGCGGTCTCGCCGCCGGCCTGACGGGCGTGACTTGGCGGCGGAATGGGGGGTTCGTGGGCCTCGGACTAACTTCCGGCTCGCCGGAATCGTCGACGGCCATGTCGTCCTCGTGGTTTTCAGGGAGATCAAATGCGACCGCATGTTGGGGGCGGGAATTTGAGGGAAGGGGATGCGGTGAGGCCACAACATGTGACGGCTTGCCCGAGGCCACAATGGGAGGGCCACGCGGGGTATACCACAGATTCTGGAGGATTCTCGGGTCGTCCCGCGTGATACGGGCGACGCGCCCATGATGGTCAGGGTATGGTGGTTGAGCCGCGAGTTCTTCCATCGCGGAGATCACCAATGGTGGCACGTACACCGGCCACTCGTTTGCAGCCGCGGATGAGAGAGCCTTGGCAGCATCGACCTGGCAAACGTTTTAGTTAATGCTGCAAGGACAGCTACAGCGGATGCACGCACCCCCCATTTTTTGACCTTGTTCCACTGGTCCGCACACTCATGTTCAGTATGTCCCGTGTATATAAAGAAAGGCACTTACGATCTTCTGCATTACTTTCGCATCCTGGGCTTTGGGCATCTTCTCCGCCTTGACAAAATCTTCGAGTTTCGACTCGCATTGGACCAACAATCCCATGACTTGCTCCATCGTCACTACCTTAGGGCCCTCTTCGTCCGGACCGGGGTTGTTTGTCGACGACATTGTAAACGAAAGCCGAGGGATGGGCGAAGCAGGCGGATTACAGGCGGCAATGGGGTGGACGTTGGTGATGGAATTCAGGTAGTGACGATTGAGCGGCAGCGACAAACTGTGGGAACGCAGCCACAGACACGTGACCTGTGTGGCTGAGCCGCGCCGTGGGACATCCGATCGATCTCACTGATGAGATCTGAACCAACCTCTTGCTCCCTGCAACCATGTCGAAATCAGTTGTTGCGATTATGAAGCGTAAAGATGGTAAGTGTGACTTTTATACTCGTATTGGAAGCATTCCTAACAGCGCCATATTCAGGATCACCCGCTACACCCGGGCCAGCCGGTATTTCGTCCGGACAGGCAAATCCAGACCAGACGCGGTCGCAGGAGCTGCGTGACTTGCTTGGTTCGTTGTCGGTGCGTCGATACTTATTGTTTCACATAGGATGGTGCGCTCACCCGGTGACGCCGCCCAGGATGCCAGTGATGTCGAGGATGACCAAGGTATGTCGGGTCGCAATGGCTTGTAGTCTGGATGCCACATTGACTCGGGCTTACTGTGTCAGCACCACTGATCATCCCACCGAGACCCGGTACACTTCCGCCCACCGAACCGGATGCCATGGTGAGCACAGTCATCAGGAATCCCGGAATACAATTGACTCGGGTGCAGGACACAAGTCCGGACGGTGGCCCGTCGTCAGGCGGTGTAGATAATGGTGCCGGTGCTGATGCCATGGTCGTCTCCGACGGGGAAACCAAACAGGCGTCACCACCCCGCCGTTGGTTTGTCATGCCTGTCCCTCTCCCGCGGCGAAGGCCTCCGGGTGCTCCCGTAGTTATTTGCCCTGACTCAGACCCCGAAAGCAATACACCGGTAAGACCGTCAGTTGGCCTGACCAGACCCGGAACCACTGGCATTGCCAGTAGAGTGACGAATGCTCTGGTATTGTCGGACACTGACTCCGATCTGGACACCCTGGACAAGCCCCTGGCTATGCCGTCGAGATCTGCAAGCACCGTTGCCACCTCGGCATCGAGCGGGCGTGCGGGAACACTCAATTTGTCCGACGGCGACTCGGACGGCGAGTCGGATGTAGGGGGACCCGTGGGCCCTTTTGTTATCCCCAGCAGGCAAGCACACCCGGGTTCATCAACGCACGGGTCAAAGACGAGTCGTACCGGCTCCCTCCTCTCTACGGTGATCGACCTATCAAGCGGCGATGAATCTGATTCGGGGGCGGACGGGCAACCGTTCCTCATCCCGCACAGGCCGGCAAGTGTGGCTACGCCGGTCGCAACTCCGCAGGCTACACCGGTCGCAGCTTCCCAGGCTGGTCATGCCGTTGCATATCCGAAAATCTCCCCTGCCCGTGCTGCAACGCCATTGGATTTGTCATCGGGTGACGAGGAAATGGAGTCGAGAGGCATCGAGCAACTGCTAGTCATCCCGCCCAGGCCGGCGAGAATGGCTACGCCTGTCGCCGCTCCGCACGCGGCACGTTCCTCCAGCCGTCCGCAGTTCTCCCCTTCCCTGGGACCCACAACGATGACCGCCGGTCGTGGGCCACCGCGGGTTCCTGCCCGATTCGGAAACATATTCGGGCTTGGGGCAACTGGCCCAAGGGATGAAGCTAGGATGCCTGCCGGTATGCGAATTGAACGGGTCTTGCTGGGTAGCATCCCGGATGGACAAGAACAGCGATTTGAAGCTACGTTATCGAGGGTAAGCCATCGAAATGGTGGGTACATTCAAACTGATGACGAGTTGGGTACTGCAGGCTATCCCCCTTGTGGAAGAGTGCTCGGGTGTACGTGCGTTGAGCAGTAGCCCGGCCCATGACTCCGCCAGGTCTGAACATGTTGCTGGTCCGTCGGGTTCGAACACTGGTGAAGGTGAGTCGTTTGAACAGCCAGTCTACTTCTGGCGTCCGGTGGCGGGCGTCCGGGGGCGGGCGGGGTGGTCGATCCGCTGGTGTGGCGGCTTTCTCACAAAGTTGATTCATATCCCAGGTAGCAGTTCTCCATTCCGGGGGAATTCCTCTGCAGCCGGGCGATCGCAGTCCCCCAGCGAGTGGCCCGGGCCGTGGCGCACTGCAGTATCGCCGGAGGAGGAGGAATTCCAAGGTAGGCCGATTCCATATGGAGCATTCCATTATCTCTCATATGTGCCACAGTTGCCCACGGGATCGTCCGGGGTCCCACATACGAAGGCCCCCTTCTGACGATGCTGCGACGGCAGATGCAGGAGAGCAATGTCGTGAAGGCGCGATTGGAGGCACTGCGAGAAATGAGGAAGGCAAACAGGCAAGGCGGGGAAATGCTGCTGAGGCTGAAGGAGCGCTGCGGCGCAGATAAAAAGTGGTGGAAATTAGATAACCGTTGTGTATTATATATTGCTTGCAGCCTTAACTGGCTCGCTGATGATGCTTGAGACAGTGGGGATCGACTCGGTATGGCTGCAGTGTATCATGTCAGCTGGTCGGAAAGCAATGCTAGTGCCCCGCCCCCCTAGCTTCCCGGCGGTCTGAGAAACCACTGACCACCCTAGCCACAGGAAAAGGGATGTAGTTTCGGATCAGCTCGAGTCTCAGCCGACTCGATAGGGATCTGGAATCTCACATCCCGGCCAAACTGACAGCATCCGACATACCTCATGCCGGCCGAGGCAACAAAGTAAGGAGAGCGGCATCGCCTTGTGTGCGTCGGCTGCTGCACCATGAAAGCCATTCTTAGCAGACTCGGCCGACCGGGACATAATGGTGAGTCTCTTATTGTTGGAGAACTCTCCGGCCGACGTGCCACCGCCCCGATGTATTGTTACGGCATGATTGCCAAGGGAAGGTATCGGCCCACCAGGCGACACTGATTGGGTTGAGAATGACTGCAGATCCTCAGCAGGGCGGCCGGGAAAACTACCATGGTTTATCCAACGCGCGGCCGCCGCGGGACGAACACGCCACCCGCTGGTCGGCCGACCAGATATAGACCGCCCGGTCGTACCGCCGGCCGCCCGGGTGGACAAGGGATTTCTGACCGTCGGCCGCTGAGGCTGGAGATAGGAATCTCATTCTCGGCCGACCGGCGAGGGATGTCAGCAGCCAATGTAAGGAGCTAACAACCTGTGGTGGGCGGCCGACCCGGAGGTGCTCATTCAGTTTGACGCGTCGGCCGACACGCAGGCGGCCGGAAAGTCTGAGCATCGGCCAACCCGGGCACTAACGGCGGAGTCAAACCGTCGGCCGACGTCGGGTGACCGGGTAACGATAAGTGAATCTCACGTCGGTTGGCCGGGTAACAACAGGGTGTTTAGCTAGATGGGCTCACGCTCAGACAAAGCTCGAAAGCTAGACGCACGTGTCGAGCAAGTCAAGCATTTCCTGATGACACTTTCCAAGCCAGATGGACTTTCGCAACAAGCGTTCGAAGCGTTCTACAAGTACGCGACACAGTTCTTCGTCACCGGGGATCGACTCTGGAGACGGAATGGTCAAGGCGCGCATAAGGTTGTCCTACCACCCGAGCGAAGGCTTTGAACATTACGCGAGAGCCACGATAGGATCGGACACCGCGGAATCCACGCAACGATCGTAGCAGTCTCCGAACGCTTCTGGTGGCCCGATCACAAGTCCGACATAGGCTGGTATGTTCGAACGTGCGACCTATGTCAGAAGCGTCAGTTACGACAGATCCTCATCCCACCGACGGTCGCGATGCCAGCCGGACTATTCATGAAGGTGTTCTGCGACACGATGTTCATGCCTGTTTCGGGAGGCTATAAGCTCATAGCGCAAGCGCGCTGTTCTTCGATCACGTATCCCGAAGCCCGAATGCTTCGAAGAGAGACAGCTCAGACCCTTGGCGAGTGGCTATATCAAGACATTGTCTGTCGCTGGGGTACGCTTGTTGAACTAGTCTCCGACAACGGCGGACCCTGGGTCAAGGTGCTCGAGTACCTCTCGAAGAAGTATCACATCAACCATATCAGGATCAGTGGCTACAACTCGCGAGCAAACGGTATCGTCGAACGGTCGCACTTTGACATGAGACAAGCGTTGTTTAAGGCTGCCGACGGAGATCAGTCGCGCTGGTCACAGGTCTTCCATTCAGTACTATGGTCCGAACGCGTAACAACTCGTCGAAGAATGGGATGTTCGCCATACTTTGCGGTGACAGGCACGCATCCGATACTGCCTCTCGACGTCATCGAAGCAACGTACCTTGTCCCACCGCCTGAGAGAGCACTCGACACTACCGACTTGATTGCTCGACGAGCCATAGCACTTCAGAAACGGTCGGAGGACCTTTCAAAGATCTATTCGAAGGTCTACGAAGCGAGGCGTGAGGCGGCCCGACGCTTCGAACGAGAGCACCAGTACACGATCAAAGACTTCGACTTCCAACGTGGGGACTTAGTCCTCGTCCGAAATACAGCGATCGAAAAGGCCTTGAATCGTAAGATGCGTCCACGATACCAAGGGCCTATGGTCGTTGTATCTCGGAACCGAGGAGGTGCCTACATCATCGCTGAACTAGATGGCACGGTCCTCGACAGACCTATCGCCGCTTTTCGAGTCATCCCATATCTTGCTCGAAGGTCAATCACGATTTCACTCGAACACTTAGACATACCCTTCGAACGCTTGAGGGAGATGGAGCAGTCAGACACTCTAGGGGACGACGAGCCAGAGGCGTCCGGTTTACCCGACGAGCTAGACGATGAGTCTTCAGCTTCAGAGGACAAAGAATGAGTCTGTCAAGAGACTCGTGCAAGTATACCCTATACAGATTCAGGCTTTAAAACACCACCATTCCTTTTCACTTCAATTCTTCGAACATTGTGGCAACATTAGAAACAAGATACTCATTATACAGTACGCGGACAAGAGACGTTACAAATCGGCAGCCACATGCGCGAGACATAGTCAGGACACTACAAGTACAGGTACGGGACCCCGAACACGGACACAAGCTACGAACACGACCTACGAACACCCTACTTCAAACTCTTGCCCTTCGAAGGCCCGGCCGAGGGTCCAGCAGCGGGCGGATCGAACGCGCCACGCGCAACTCCAGTGGACTCGACGTACAGCTCGTCGACGCGACGGCTGTAGTACTCCTGGAGGCCCTCGAGCACCGCAAGCTCGAGACCCATCAAGTTCAGCGATGCCTCGACGTTGCCGACGCGCTCGGTGGTCGCAGTCAAGGCGGCACGGGCCTCGGCGAGCGAGCAGACCGGGGCGCACTGCGCCTGGAGAATCACCGAGATATCGATCAGCGGGGTCTGCGTCTGCGCGGCGTGCAAGGCCGCGGCGGCACGGGGATGGAGAGGCATGCGCGACGTCATGAAGGCCGCAGCGCCCAAGGCCGGGACCATGACAGGAGCTGGAGGTGCGGGGGCTGCAGGCTCCTCGGCGTCGCCGCCCTTGCCTACGAAACGGAGATGTCAGCTACGAACGACCCTCCGGTCTTCGAAGATAGGGAGTAGACTTACCGGCACGACGCGCCTTACGAGTGCCCGCCAGCGTGGCGGCGCCCCAGTAGCAGCCCTGCTGATCGTGCAGGCACTGATTGCAGGCGACCGCGTCAGCCTCGAAAATGCACTCCTTAGGAGTCGCGTAGCCCGCGGCGCAACGGTCGCACTAAAAGCACGAACAGTTAGAAGAATACGACAAAGAAAGGCAACCGAAATACTCACCGCCATAGTCCTGTCACGGACGGTAGTCGCGCGAGCGACGAGCTTGCGGACGGCGGGGTCCGTGACATCAGGGGCCGAGCCATCAGCCGGGGCCTTCCGCTTTTTGTTCTTCTTCGAGCCCTTGGGCTCGGGACGATCTCGACTTCGGGCGACTCGGCGCGAGCCGTCGAGACATCCGAGGCGGTGGGGGACTGCGCGCGGGACTTACCTTTGCCACGAGCGCCTGACCGACCACGTCGCGGCAAAGTCTTCTCCTCGCGAAGCTGACGAGCAGCCTCGCGTTTGTGGGCCTCGGCGGCCTCCTCGAGCTCGGCGGCCTCGCGGCGTTCGAGATCTTCGGCCTCGGCGGCCTCGCGACGAGCGTGTTCTTCGGCCTCCCGAGCCTCGCGAGCTTTCTGGGCCTCGGCCTCCAGACGTTCGCGTTCTTCGGCCTCCAGACGCTCGCGCTCCTCGGCCTCCAGACGAAGGCGGGTTTGTTCGGCCTCCCAGAGCGCGCGCTTCTCGTGTTCGAGCACGGCGTGCTTGATGGCGGCCTCGAGCAGAGGCCACTCCATGTTGTCGGCGCACTGGCGTGCGGCGTCCGGGTTTACGTCCGTGGCGAGGACGAGGAGATGGCCAAGGGCCGTCGCGTGGCGCTGCGAAAGGAACGCGCCTTTCGTCACGCGAGTGAAACGGTTCTTCGAACACTTCAAGTCAGCGCAAACAAAACGAGGCGGATCCCGAACTCACGACAGCCGCGTATGCGCCCTCGATCCACTCCTCGATGGCGTCCGGATTCTCGGGGATGAGGTGCCCCACGACCCAGTTGGCGAGAGGAGCCATGGGGCTCTTTGGGTCGTGAGGGACGGGGAAGCCGGTCTTCGCGTCCACGGTGTACTTGTCGTCCGACGCAGAGGCGCCGGCAGGTTCGGGAGACTTGGCGAAGGCGGGAGTGGGCGCGGGAGCAGACGAGGCGGACATGGGGCGAGCAAGTGGGGACGAAGATGGACGAGCGAAGCGGGGGATTAAGCGAAGTTCGGCTGGGATCCCCCCCGCTATATGTGCGCTCGAGCTTTGTGGGTCCACCTACCGCGTTCGAGGCGCTGAAACAACGGGGATCATCCCCATCAGAACCAGTCAAAAACGGGAAAGAAGTGCTGACCTCCCGTCCAATGGGATTAATTCTTCGGATCAACGTGATCGAAGCGCGTCCTGCCGTTCGCTAATCGCTTCTCGAGTGCTCGCCATTGGACAAGACCTTCGGACGGCCTGGTGCGGAAGTATCTCGATGATCGCGGACGCAAATCAAGCGCCGGCGTGTTCGCGCTGACCGGGGACGGTCAGTATCTCAGTAAGGGGGAGATGATGAGCCCTTAGCTCATCTACCCACCGAAAACGCCATTTACGGTCGATACAACGGTACACTAAGTCAGAACGGTTGACGCACTGTCCGTCCGTTCAAGGGAACCGCCCGATGTTCGAAGCTCAAGCGTCAATGTTCGGAACCCTTAGTGACAGAGGCAAGCGGTTTAGAAGTGTCGCTACATTGGTAGGACTCCGGAGCAAGTACACGGCTAGGTCAAACTACTATATCGGGTCACGATCTCGGACAGCCTAGGTAGTCGGTCACTCGAGCCTCATTCAACAATCACCCCTTTTATAGCTATGAAATAAATCGTAGCATGTCTCAATGAATCCTTGTAATGCCTGTACAGAATTTGAAGCCAATACACTGAGATCTGTGTGCAGGAAAAATCACCCTTTGCGATGATACCTATTTCTGGTAAGCAGTGTGGCTCACCCTACTCTCGACCAGAATGTTAGCTACTGAGCTCGACTCAATGATCGTATATT